ACTACTACTACTACTACTACTCTGCCTACTACTGCGACGACGATTGCCACACTGATTGCAACTTTTTCACTCATGTCAGTATCATTCTTGTTATGACCTATCTTTTTTCGCTAGCTGTGGTGGCGCGAGTTCTCCTTTATCCTCACAGGACACGGTCAGCGGCCGCGGTGTTTTCTCCAACGTCGTCAAGGCGAAGGATACGAAGAGCGAAGGACCCGTGTAGAAGTTTGGGGATGGGTATAAGTTTAGAGTTTGGGATTGAATCGAAGGCATAGATGTTGGCATTTGGAATTTGGGTTTGAGAGCATCTTGTTTGAGTTTGCGTCTGAAAGTCGAAAATTTCCGGTTTAAAACTGGGTTTTGAGGATTTAGGACGGAGTTCGGGTACAAGGTTTGGGGTGCCCGTAAACCCTAAACCCCAATAAACGAAGAGGATTTGGGGAATCCATTTCTTGCGCAGCTACTCTCCCTGTAGTCGTAATTGGCTGGAGCCCCTAAACTTCCCTAAACCCTAAATCCTAAACCCTAAACCCTAGCCGCTCTAAACCTAAACCCTGAATCCTAAACCCTAAACCCTAGTCGCTCTAAACCCTAAACCCCTAAATCCTCAACCGTAATTCCAGCTCTAGGGGAAGACCCTAAATCCTAAACCCTAAACCCTAAATAAGGAACCTGACAGGTAATGTGGGGGCCTTAATATTTGAAATAGGGTTTTGGGGGTTCCGTATTATAGTTATAGTATACTATACCTTAATATTTTAAATAGGGTTTTGAGGGTTCCTTATTATAGTTATAGTATACTATACCCGAAACCCTATTCTAATTATTAAGGCGCCTCTATTCGGTTTTTTAGAACTCAGGTGGTAAGGTTTAGGGATCTTCGGTTTGCGGTCATCAGGAGAGCCGCTAGTGGCGCTCAAGATCATCCGCTCCAACGATATGATGAAGAAGGCAAGAAGGGCAAGAGGGGGTTTCGGATGTCAGGGTCCTACACGGCACCCTAGATCTTGCCCTAAATCCGCAAGTCCTTAAGAACGGCGATAAGACGGAAATCGGAGTGTCGAAAGCCTGACATTCGTTGTCTAGCCCCGCTAGCACTACAGCTGCCAAAAAGCGTACACAAATATCAGGATCGAATCTTACCCGTGAGATATAGGGGCATGTATGATCCTCATTTGTTTCTGAAATCCAGACTGGTCGAACCCACAAACAGCCCCAGACCGAAACCCCTCAAAGCCGTGGTCCGGTAAGCGCGTCATGTCGTGTGTAACTGAAACCATCTAGCATTCATGGTCCATGGTGTGAATATGACAGCCTGAGGGACCGGTATCTACAATCTACCTCGGCTAATCTCGCATACCCCACACAGAACTGCATGGAAACCTGATGTAGGCGACCTCTAAGCCCTAAACTAAGTAACTAGGCCCTAAAGCCTAAAGCCTAAACCCTAAACCCCTCAGCAAGGCGAAAAAAAAGAAGTAAACACCGCCGCGATGGCTCAGGCCGCGGAGCGTGAAGTCGAGATCTTGCAGACCTTGAACAACGCGGACAAGGCCAACAAGAGGCCAGCTGCGGGGGCGCACGAAGGGTATTAAAGTTTAAACCATTACAGGTTTAGGGTTTGGGATTTAGGATTTTGGGATTTAGGGTTTTGGGTTTCGGGATTCCGGGGTTGAGGGTTTAGGGGTTTATAGGGTCTCAGGGTTTTGGGGCTTAGAGGGATCGTCTAGCGCTACCGGTTCTACAAGTTCCCGGGCCCCTTAAATCCTAAAAGTTCGGCTGAAGTTTAAGGGTTTAGGGTTTAGGGTTTAGGGTTTAGGGTTTAGGGTTGCATTTGGGATTAGGGTGGCTGTGGGGTTTCTGTGACCGCACATCCATAACCCTTTAAGGCCCGAGCCCTCAAACCGCAAAGCCCTAAACCCTAAACCCTAAAATCCTTGAAGCCACCGAAGGCCTTATGAAGCTTTGGAAAGTGCCCTAAAAACCGAACCTAAAACCCTATAATATAGGGGCCTAAATGCTTGCCTAGATTGTTTTGAAGGTTCCTGACTATAATTGCAGTATAGTATCCCCCCAAACCCTTGTCTAGAATCCCTAAACCTTTATAGTAGCCCTTATAGGACCCTTTAAGGAACCCTTTAAAGCAACCCCATGGAACCCTATTCTAATTATTAAGGCCCCTACATTAAGCAACCCTAAACCCTAAAACACCCGAAGCCCTATTCTAATTATGATCTAAACCCTAAACCCTAAACCGCCCCTGCATTAGAAAGATCCTTCTGAAGCCAGGCATATTATCAGACTCATCGAGCCCTGGACGAAACTTCAGCTTGAGGGCCTTGAGGTTTAAAGTTTAGGGCTTTTGGGGTTTAGGGTGTACGGTTTTAGGGTTTAGGGTTTATAGGATTTAGGTTTTAGGGTTTAGGATTTAGGGTTTAGACTGTTATTGCTGTAGTGGTTTGGCAGCTTTCCTTACAATTGCCTAAACGTATTTAGAGTTGATTACAGCAGGCCCCCCAAATCTGAGCCTAATGTGTTCAGATCTTTTTGCCCACCGCCCTTTAAAACCTCATCCGTCCGCGTCGGCAAGGCCTAAAAAACACTGAGCCCAACCAGACAAGCTGCATAATGGTGGGGGTTTGGTTTCAAGGACCAGTTTCTGTAGTTCCTAGAAGTTCTTTGCTTTAGTGTTTTTAAGGTTTCATCTTTTAGTGTTCGGGGCTTGGTTCAGGGTTCAGGATTTCGTGTTTAGGTGTTTGTTGTGCGTGTTTCTGTTTGGAAATCTTACATATCTTACAGGCTCCCCAAGGGTCCAAGTACCAATTCAGTATACATCTGGACGGCCCAAGTATCCCTGTTTTGGTCTTCAGAGCCTTCGGCAATATGCCCCAAATCATAAACTGGGCTCTTGATAGGTGTCTATAATCAATAGTATGGTTTAAAGATTATTTTTTTGCGAACTTAAACTCGAGTTCCTGAACAAGTGCCCGGTAAAGTATCGGTTCTCTATTATCAAGGCTCCCATATGTGGCGTTTAAGCCCACCCCAGAAACAAGAAGCAGTTAGCGATATCTGAAAACCTAAGCCAGGGGTGCCAAAGGTCCCGTATTTATCCTACACGTTCTTCTGCCCAGACTTCTTTGATGTTTGGGCTGCTCAATGCAACCGCAACCCCTGAGCCCCAAACAGCTTTCGGCTTGAGTCATGGATCTAGTTGTTCCCAAACCAACAAGAGGCCTGCGAAGGAACCATACCCCAAAGCCCTATTCTAAGGAGGAAGGCTCCTATGTTGAACTCTGGAACCCCAAACCCTCCTAAAAACTAAACCCAAACATTGATCCTGGAATCCGGAGCATGAAGACCCGAGCCCTGAACCCAACGTCTCTTTGAAGCCCCGAACCCGCTGTTTTTGGGTTCAGGGCGGTATAAGTTTCGGGGGGTCTGAACGGATTTATAGGGCTTCGGAACTGAAGGAAACCTTCTACTACAGAAAGCACATCTTCCTGGTCTTCGAGTGCATGGCGGAGGACCTCCGCGGCGCTCTGAAGAAGTGCCCTGATCAGGAGGGCAGTTGAGGGGCTTAAGGTCTCATATCGGGCTCTCGGCCCAGGGTTTTGGCTCCATATATGCCATACTACATGGGGTTGCTTTTGGATGGTACTCTGTGTCTGTGATTGTGTCTTTGCACCGCTTGTGCGTTGCTCGGGGGTTTTTGCAGCGTGCATGCAGCCACGCAGTCTCTGGTTGGTTTCTTTCTGATAGCCTTGCTGGAAGATGCGGAAGCAAGGATATTACAACACCGCCTCCCTCGGGTATACACTGACTATACTGCTTTGGCAGTCTTCCGCACAGAGCAACCGGTCTTTCTTGGCAGTCAGGGCACTTATGCGAGGGATCCCTAAACCCTAAACCCTAAACCCTAAACCCTAAACCCCACATCCCGGCACTTTAGACCCTAAGCCCTGAACCCTAGCAGCCCTAAATCCTAACCCCTAAACCTTAAACCCCACCCCCGAACAGGTACACCAAGAACAGAGGCATCTCACTACCGGTCGTCAAGGCCCGGGAGGGTCAAGGTGGGCTCTCGGCTTGGGGGGTAATAAAAGTTCAGGGTTTAGGATTTTGATTTAGGGTTTAGGTATCATGAGGTGTTTCCGGAGCTGCATACAGCAGTAGAAGGGGTTCCATAGAAGTTTATGCAAATCTGTGAGGGTTGATGGTTCAGTTTCAAGGTTCAATGAGGCTTAACATGACATGTGTCAGGATCCTGCAAAAAAATGCCCGTGCTGTAGAGCTGCACAGCTGAAGCCCGAGCAGCTTTTGAAATCGGAGGCGGCCCATGCATCCATCCTGTACAGCCGCAGCGGCAGCAGAGCAGGACGATGACAACATAGGTATTGGAGAAAAGCATTCACAGCAGCAGCAACAGCAGCAGCAGCAACCACGACAGCAGAGGCATCAGCAAACAGGCAGTGCTAGTCATCAGGTCAGGAGTGCTCGGTCTCCTTGACCTGCGTACAAGTCACAGATAAGGGCAACTTTCACCACCGCAGGTGTAGCAGAGTCAGCCGTCATCATCATCATCATCATCAGCAGCAGCAGCATCACACCACCACCAGCAGCATCATCATCAGCGACATAGTCATCGACACCCTGCTCGCCATCATCATCATCATCATCATCATCAGCAGCATCGTTGTCTAAGTATGTATCGTAGTAGAAGCCCTCGTCACCGTTGCCGGGTGGTACAGCGGCGAGCGGCAACGGTGGAGGTGGGCGTCGTCGTCATAGTAGGACTAGTGGCAGTGGTGCTGATAGCGAGAGTGGCAGACGATGTTTTTGGTGATATTGGTCGGATATCAATTTAATGGAAATCCAATCAGTTGAACTGGCCTTCTGAACTTTACGCCCTAAGCCCCAGAGCCCCAAACCCTAGAGTCCTACAGCCTCAGCACGAAAGCCTCTGCCAAGACTTGCCGCCAAAGCTTTCCTTATCGAATCCTTAACTCCAAAGTTTAGGGTTGCGACTCCCAAACCCGAAGTCCTAAACCCTAATCCATGCGTTGGCGTACTGAAAGCCCTAGCACGTGCAAAGAGAGGCATACACGAAGCAGCTTCTCGTTGGCGTCCGCCACATGCACAAGTGCCTCTCCTGATGTCTGGCCAGCGAAATAGTCGATTTACTGCAGGGTCCCAACCCATACCAGTATGTATTCATCCCTGTTTAGCGACTCCGCAACAAAAATCAGGAATATCCCGTTTTGGCTGGTTCAGGGTATAAGACCCAGAGGTGTGAGTTTTCCCATGGGTCCTCAGACCCTCAACGAGCATGGGGCGGAACCGGAACCCGAGAGTCCGAGCTGAACCCCAACCTTCCCTCCTGAACTGTTTTGGGGTTATGGTTTAGGGTTTAGGGTTTAGGGTGTAATCCGTAGCCTACGGACGAGAACCCACGGTGCAGGCGAAACCTGTCGGGGCAAGCCAGGCCTCCTCGAGAATAGGTCTACGTCCGAAGGAACATCCCAAACGTTTTAGGAAATTAGGGTTTAGAAGCCTTAGGGTTTAGGGTTTAGGGTTGTAAGTTCCTTCTTTGTGTTGCAATTGCTTCCTTATTGCTTGGATGACTTCCGATCCGTTCCCGAAGCTTCAACTGTCAGCCACGTTTTTGGCACGGGCATAGAAACCGAAAGATCAAAGACCTAGCGGACCTAGCAGGACCTAAGATAATTACCTATACATTTTGGGGGCTCCTCAATAGGGTATAATGGGCCCCAAAACCCTATTCTTAGCTATTAAGGCCCTTACAGTAGCAGCCAACCAGAATAGAGCCAGCCCCGTCATGATCCTGAAGTCCACGCAGATAGTTAGGGGTTTAGGGTCTAGGGCTTAGGGCTTAGGGTTTAGGGTTTAGAGGTTTAGGGTTTAGGGTGTAAGGTTTAGGGCATGAAGGAGCCACGACCGTTTGCTCGAGTCGTAATGGTGACAAGCGCTCATATGACGTAGAGTTCTTCTTAAGTTGATACAGGGCTCGTTTCGGGGTATGCGCGAGTAGCAACCCCCAAAGTGCATAGCAGTGACACAGTTCCACGGGCGCCCCCCTCCCCTTTCAGCTTCAACATCATCCACCCCTAAACCCTAAGCCCCCTTTCAGCTTCAACATCATCCACCCCTGAACCCTAAACCCCCTTTCAGGTTCAACATCATCCACGCAGACCTGAAACCTGACAACATTCTGATCAGCCAAGCTGCCCATCTGCAGAGAGCGTCGGGATCAGCCTGAATTGAATGCAGGGGCCTGAATAATTAGAATAGGGTTTTGGGGGTTCCTTATTATAGTTGTAGTATACTATACCCCAAACCCTATTCTAATTATTCAGGCCCCTATATTATGGACTTACTTGTATCAGGTTGTCATAAAAATAGTTCTACGTGATAGGGTTGGCTTTTTGGTTAGCAGACCCCGAACCCTAAACCCTAAGGTAGACCGTATCTCTGAGAGATTTGTTTCACCACTCCTCCTACAGTGCAGCCCTTCATCGAATCCATTTCCGCTCTTCCTGCAAAACTTGATGGGGAGCCATCCCTTAGGATTTCCGTGGTGTGTATGTATGCGTGTCTGTATATAGCATATGTGTATACAAACATATATATATATATACATGTTCATACTCATGTATGTACACATACATATACATATACGTATATGCACATGCATATATGATCATACATGTTTATGTATATAGACAGTATAAGAATGCTACCGACAAATCCGAGTCTGATTCTTCAGGCCTCGATGCTCGCCTAAACTGGAGACCATGACTAGAACTATGTTCTGAAGCCCCCTTTAACTGTAGAAGGCACCTCAAATGTCTGCGGAGTTGCAAGTGTTCTTTCAGGTTTCTAGTATGTTGGTTTTCCCGAGAAGGCTGACCAGGTGCTTTACGGTATAGGGTTCAGGGTTGGGTCCATGTACTTCAATCGTGACTACATTGGCCTTAGAGTACTTCTACAGGGCCTACTTTAGGCCCAAGTATATACTATTTGGGTCCATGGACCCTTAGGGCTTCACTGCCCTCAGAAGACGCGTTACAATCCTAGCACAGAGATTTGGAAGCGAATCCGGGATGGCCAGCCGGCCATGATTCTTTTTCTTCCATTACAGCAGTTGTGCGGCTTTCCAGCCGCAGGAAGATGAATCGGGCCGCGACAGCGCGGCGCGTGTGCGCCCTGTCGTGGCAGGCTGGCTAAGGCAGATCAAGAATGACACCCGCACCCACCGAGACATCGCGGGTGACCCTAAACCCTAAACCTGGACCACGATGGCTTTGGGCGGCCGCAGTGACAACTTGCTGCCAGGGTGAGGGCCTCCACCCGGAGGCTGGCAACATTTGCTAGACTCTACCTTAACCCACCAAAACAGAGTTTTTTGTAGGTTCTTATTATACAGCCTAATATGGAGTTTTTAGGGACCCTACTAAAAAAGTAGGTTCTGGCAGGTTAAGATAGAACATGTCACATGAGTTGCTATAAGCGCCGTGGAAGTCCAGACGGCGAGGGCAGTGCAGCAACAAGACCATGTTTCCCCATCCCAGCTGATGCTTCACATCATGATCTTCTCTTACCAGCGCCAACGAAGAGCAGCTGCCTAGTGAAGCATGGCCAGACAGATCAAAGCTGTAAAGGACCAGAGCCCTAAAACCCTTAACCCTAACCTCTAAACCTTGTAATGGTACCCTTAGCGCCTAGCCCTAAACCCCTAAACCCTGGCCCTAGCCCAGACGGAACAGGCCGTGGTACAAAGGGGGAATTCAACAAAAAACCTGTCCCTAACCCTAAACCCTAAACCCTAAACCCTTCATGGCGGGTGGCACACACAGGTATCGACCCAGTCGTAAGACTTCTCTGCGAGGAGAAAAGGTCCGGTTAAAAAAAAAAAAACCCTAAACCCTAAACCCTAAACCCTAAACCCTAAACCCAAGGACAACAGTATCGTCAAGCTCTGCGACTTCGGCACTGCTGTGGAGCAGAGACTTTGGCAATGCACGGCTTCCAGGGTTTAGGGTTTAGGGTTCAGGGTTTAGGGTTTAGGGTTCAAGACTCCCTGTACCTAGGCTTGGCGCCCACCATAGCGTCCAACCTTTCGCCGCCTGAGCCAGTATGTGTTTCCAGACCAGTGATTGGAGTTCAGGAATAGGTGAAGGATTACATGTCATGCGCTTGAGGTCAAAAGCCTACGAGCCAAGAATTGATCTTAGAATCCCCTCTCAAACCTTGACTTACTAAACCTACTTTTTTGTTATGTCCGTAGAAGTTCTATATCAGGGTTGATAATCGGCACCTGGTTTGTGGTACTTTAAGGTAAGCCGTCAACCCCTTCGGTTGCTACCAAGCTCCTAGTCTCATCCGACCGATTGCTACACAGGGTTTAGGGGTTGAGGGTTTGGGGTTTAGGGTCCCATAAAATCCCTAACCCTCACAAAACGTTGATATCATGCAAGGAAAGATGTGGGCGTGTCTCCGTACCTCATGAGCCTCGGATGGCTTTGTGTTCTGAGGATGTTGTGAACCATTGAGGTGTTCGGTCTTCAAGGGCCTTAGGGCTTCAAGGGTTCAGGTTTGGAGTTCCCTTTCGTGTTCCAGCCCAAAACCCTACTAAACCCCAAAATCCCTAAGCCCTAAACAAGGTGGCTGTAGATTTTGCGGGTTCCGGGGCATGGTTCGTATTCCGACTTAGCCAGTGTTACTTAAAAAAACAGAGGCCTTAATAATAGTAAGAATAGGGCTTTGGGTGGTCTTTATTATGAATATAGTATACTGGCCCCAAAACCCTCTCGTAATTATTAAGGCTTCTATGTTACTTAGTTCAGGGGCGTTGGAACACAGCATCATGCACCTCATGTGAGTCGTGCAGGTTGAGAAGTAAAACCTCTGGCCGTTCAAACTTTCAGTTTTAGGGTTTGAGGTTTACGGGTTCAGGGTTTAGGGTATAGGGATCACCCCACAATCCGTATCGGAACCCTGTCGAGCACCGACGAACACTTTTGCAAAGCCCATCAACTTGTCATCATCTTACAGCCGAGAAAGCCACACGTTACGCAAACAATTCTACAGACACTCCAAGAACTCCGCAAGCGCAAAGCCTTGTCTCCTCCTCCCAAGCCCCCTACCGGCCGATAATTTCGCCCTTAAACCCTTGTTACACGGCTAAACCCCTAAATCTAACCCTAAACCCTAAGCCAAACCCTAAACCCTCAAACCTAAACCCTAAACCCTCAGCCCTAAACCCTAAACCCTAAACCCTAAGCCCTAAGCCCTAAACCCTAAACCTTTGCGAAGCCCTCATCTGCGAAACAAACATCCAGAGGAGCCGGTTTTATCGGCCAAGTGAAGTTATCCTGGGCTGCGAGTTTCTCGGCGTCTTATTCCTGGCTCTTTTACTGGAAGGGTTTAGGGTTTAGGGTGGCTAGCGCTTTCATACGGATTCGCTCAGTTTGTCCTGGGGTTTATGTTTTAGGTGCAGGGTTGAAGGTTGGAGGGTTTTCGGAGGGGGAGTTGTTTGATTAGAGTCTAGAGGCTCGAGCGCGGTTCTTACTTGGGTCGATGCACGTGTACCGTTTTGGGGTTTGGAGCTTCGTCTGCTTTGAGATTGCAGTGATTGCTCATGCCGACAGATCAAGGTATTCATTTCCTCTTGCCCCTGCAATATCCATGTCAATATCTGAGTATATCTGAGGAGATGGTACTGAACCGAAAAACCTCCCCATAGTCTGTACTTAGCCTGTTTCCGAGGGCGATGGCAGCAGCCTGAATGTGGCGACCATTTAGGGCCCCCATGGTCCTAGTGCAATCAATATATGATCCGCAGACTTGCAAGGGCAGGGTTGGGCTCCCCCAACTCTGAACATCAAAATATCGAAACCCCAACCAAAGTGAAGCAAACTCCCCAGCAGTTATATAAGGATCCCAAGCGTGCAAAGGTACGGAATTCCCGTGGATGTGTGGGCGCTTGCCTGCACTCTCTACGAGATCTTCACCGGGAAGACCTTATTCCAGGCTTGTCGATCGGTTCAGGTTGAGGGTTTAATGTAGAAGCCTATCTAGGTGCCATGATTTTGTTTGTTAGGGCCTTATGAACATATTGATTAAAAAACCCTCCCAAAAATAACCCTATTCTAATTCTTCAGGCCTTCTATGTTAGGGCGATTTGGGGCCTGGTGGTTCATTTATGGTATTATTGAGTCTTACGAGCACTTGCATAAGAGGACCAGCCACATGTACCTAAACCCGAAGCCCTGAAACCTAAACCCAAAGACCTTAAACCCTAAACCCTAAACCTAAACCCTATCACCTTAAACCCTAAACCTGCAGCCTGTGGCCTTCCTGGCTGCAACCTTTTGCCGATGTGGGTAGTTGTCTAAATTAGGGTCCCTTTTAGGGTCCTTTTGTTTATAAGGGTTTAGGGTTTGGGTTTAAGGCTTGTATAAGGGTTTTTTGTTTTGGGTTTAAGGTTTGGGGTTTAGGGGGAAGTTCTCTAAGTACGGGTCCCTTTTATAAGGGTGCCGTACTATATTGGGGACCTTAAGTTAGAGACCTAGCCATGTAGATGATTGTCGTCGCCGTTCCCATTTCCCCTGGGCAGACCTTACACTGCAGTAACACTCAGCGGGTAGGTAGAGGCCCTAAAGTAGTTCCTTTTTGGGGTTCATATTTAGAATCCTATTCGGTAATTCCCAAAAAGGAACTACTATGGGGCCTATGGGTAGGTATTAATCAGAGCGTCGTTAGTAACACCTACACCCTCAACTCGAAAATCCGAGTCTGCTGCACTTATTCTTTTCCCCTAAACCCTAAAACCCTAAAACCCTAAAGCCCTATAAACCCTAAAGCCCTAAAGCCCTAATCCCTAAAACCCTAAACCCTAAAACCCTAAATCCCTAAACCCCATAACCCTAAACCCCAAAACCTTAAAACCCTAAACCCTAAACCCTAAAACCCTTTCCTGGGCACATGGTCTGAGTCTTGCCTCTT